TGTGTGACTTAGTTAACTGCAGTTGTCTAATTATCGTTCCTTGGTCTGAAATATAGTAAATTAGGTCAATCTAACAATTATGATACAACATTGGTTAATGGGCACGGATCGAACGGTTACAAGGCAATATTTGGGTAACGTTGTCACACTCATGATACCATACCTCTATTCTACTGTGAGGTGTCCTAAAAACCCTTTCAACTCATTATTTGATGGTTGCTCCACCAATCATAGCCCTAAAATATGTTGTTTTGAATAGTTAGCTAATACAGGCACTTGGTTATTGGGAAATGAGGTTAATTCTGTCACAATATATGGAATTTAAAATTTTGGGCGAATTATTTATATCTGATTTTGGTTTGAAAGGCGGGAAAATTTTATATGATGACAATGTAGTTGATGCAAGTTAAGATCAGTTGATGTTAACATTGTCACAAAAAATTATACGAAATCGTAAACAGATTAAAAACAATGATTATAGAATGAAATAGTCACTTATAATAACTCTTATAATAACTCTTATAATAACTGATGTGACAAAGTAAACATGTCTTGCCCCTATTTTGAAGATCTATATTCTATACCTCTATTAGAATATTGTCCAGAACATCAGAGCTTAAGTTTAACAATTTTAGGTTAAATTTGTCAAAGTCACTAAAAATGTGACAAAATTAACTTTTCATGCCGCAACAATTTCAAGATAGTGTGTAAAAATTAGCATAGGCTGCTTTATTACCTATATAAATCAATCCAAACTACAAAAAAATATATGTTAATGTGATGACGATTACCTAACTCTTATAATAACTGATGTGACAAAGTAAACATGTCTTGCCCCTATTTTGAAGATCTCTATAACTCCATTAGAATTCAACATTCTTTCATAAACGATTGGAAGAATATTGTCCAGAACATAAGAACTTAATTTTAAAAATTTAGATTAATTTGTCAAAGACATTGAAAATGTGACAAAATTAACTTTCCCTGCCCCAACAGTATCAAGATAGTGTGTTAAAATTGGCATAGGATTTATTACAGGTATATTAAAGTATTAATCGATCCAAACTACGAAAAATATCTTTTAATCTGATGACGATTACCTAACTCTTATAATAACTGATGTGACAAAGTAAACATGTCTTGCCCCTATTTTGAAGAACTATACCTCTATTAGAATACTATGTAACTTTATCATCAAAAAAATTTCGATAAACTAGTTATTTTGCCAGCAAGGAGCTAACAGAGTTATAATAATTTTTTGTGACAAAATTACCATATTTTTGACCATGTAGTATAGCGGTAGTTTAATTGTGACACTGTTAACATATTACCACCTGATAATGATTTATTTGACTGGTGCATGGTACTAGCAGTGTTGTTTGATCCATAGTACGTATAATATAAGGGGTTTAAGCTGGTATATCATTATTTGTTCAATTTCACACATGTTCAGATATCATCAAGATTATGTGACAAAGTAAGCTTGGTTGTGCCTTCTGTGTTTTAATTCCTTACGACTATATGATATAATAACAATTCCCAGCACTTCCAGGCCATCAAATAAACTTACACTACTCAGCATTGCTTATCAGGGTGCCCTAAACATTCATCACATATTTTTTTAATGTGTGACAGAGTAAACCTGAATGCACCATCTAACGAAAAAAGTCGTCAAATATGTAGGTAATGGTCATATGTACCCATCCAATCAACTGGACATTCAAAAATTTGGTCAAGAACGGCAGCAAGGGGTCCATAATTACTCCGTCACATGTTTATAGTGTGACAATGTAACCATTTCCGTGCCGACCGTATTTAAGCGATATTTTATCACCTGATTAAGATATCGTTATGTGACAAAGTTAGGCTGGAGGATGAAACGATTATCCTAACCATCAAGGGTTTAAGTAATTTCATAGTGTGACAAAGTCAACTACACTGTGCCTTTTAATAGGGTCACTTATATTTACCAATATCCTCAAACTCAAATGAACGTGTCCATATACAAAACAATATTACAGTATAATATATGCACAATTTCATGCAATCCAATTTATTAAAAGCGACTATAACTAAAGAACTAAGTCAAAATTATTTAATTCCTGAAGAGCCAGGTCCCAATGTCAAAAGAAATCGAAAGGAAGTAGTTGCCTTTTCTTTTTTCGTCCTCACGTATCCTGAAATAGATGCACTCCCACCTCTACATACCCACAACAGAAAGCGAAATCAATAAACAAGTATTTGTAAAAATACAAATTTTTTTCTGATAAATTTAAAAAAACGAAAATAATACATACATTCAATTAAATCAAGTGGTAATTGGCAGAGCACAATCATAAATTACCCCTCATAACTCTTCTCCTCGGGGATCAGGTTGAATGAGACACTTGATATATGAGGGCGGTCAATGTCTTCTTTTCTTTCCCCCTTTATGCACCTCCTACTGCTACTATCGCACTCCTCATGATATCCATGCTCAGGCGTGTCCTGATATGATGTTACACATCACCTGGGCCTGGCTGTATTGTCCCTTTCTCTTGGCGGCTATCGATGTAGCAAGTCTACTAACGAAACACTTGGCCTCAAATGCCATTCCTCCTGTTGTGGTAAATACAAGGGGGACGAATGACCCTTTCTCCAATTGTAGCACTTGGTTATTCATATACTGGGTTTTCTTCTCGTTCTCATGTAGGGTGTATGTAAAGCAGCGGTCTTTAACTGATATGACCGCGATTTTGGGTTGAAGATACGCACGTCAAAGAAAGTCCTCTCAAAAGTGCTCCACACTCCTCTTGCTGAGATATCGAGCCTGGCCTTATCAGCATTGTTGCCCTTTTGTTGGAAGCGTTAAAAGAGGCTCAATCCTCACATCGTTTATCACCAGCCTAAGAAATTCAGCCACTTGCACTGAGGATCTCTCACGTTGTTATGACAGTAGTGCACATACCCCCCTCTCTTACAGTTTAGGATCTGATTATGTTCGTCCCAGCCATATAATCGGAGATGAACTGCATCACTGAAGTCTAGCTTGCTGTAGCTGTAGGCATAACCTAGCTGTCGAATGGGGAGACATGTCAGCCAACCTCCTGTACCAGCTGCAGTGACTCCCTGGTATCATGGTATAGTCTCATCGACTTCACTCATTATCTCAGCGAGCTCCAAGTTTGTGAAGTTTCTGAGAAGTAGGCGATGAAGTATTTTAAACATATGGTTCGATGGGGCTGAAAATATCAGCGAAGTTATCTGGATCATATTTCTCCGGCCGAGGTAGGTGGATGCATTCCGTTCCCAGAGCAGAGTAAAACTTCAGGAACCAGAAAATTTGGTAGTGTTAAGTGTTCAAGATCCGGATCATACACGTAGACTCTGTCTCGATTCCGCTCCCTGCGGAGGAAAGTCGTGAACTTTGATGAGAAGGATTCGAAAAGTTGCATCGTAAGCAAAATCACTGTGGAAGTCTAGCTGATAACAAACTGTGACAATCGAAAATATCACAGTTGCCATTTTCACCATATTTAAAGGCTACTCCTTAGTCCTTTATCAAAACATCATTTGGCAATAGTACGGTTTCATGCACGTGCCAAAGTTGAAACTGTGCGCGGCTAAAACAATAATCAATAATGTGCTCAACTCCATCCCTAGCTACGCTTCACTCCTCACTCCTCAGTGCCCTCGCTCACTTATCATAACTGGGTTAGAAAATGTTTTTTATGCTGTCGTACATTCCATATTGATTCACACACAACAATTAGCAAATTTTAGTTCTACCCCCGATGTACGATTGGCGATGGATGTAACGCTTCGTGGAAACACGAAAATGTATAATTTTGCATTTGCGCAAGAGTATTATAGTGGGGGGGTACCAATGGCATAAATGGCATAATGGAGAATTGGCCAATAAAAATTTCCATTTATGCCATAAAACGTATGCCATTTATGCCATTTTTGATATAATACATTTCTATTTTCTTTATTTGTCATATGAATCTTTAACAATCATTCCAAGCGTTATAAAGCATGAAACATGTCTCTTATTCAAGTACTAATAATAATTTGCGAATTTAAAGTCAAATATGAAGACCTAAATTCATGGCATAAATGGAGAATTGGCCAATAAAAATTTCCATTTATGCCATAAAACGTATGCCATTTATGCCATTTTATGCCATTGGTACCCCCCCATTATAGTGATACTGATACTGTTAACTATTATACTTATACATCATAGCTCATCGGTGATTGATCATTTCAGCCGCAAGGATGGGCAATTACGATCGCAGTGAGTATTGAGTAACCTAGGTTCAGGTTTGAAGGATCTTTAACTTTTGACTAAATTGTACTACGATGTAATGCATGAAAGCTGCAAGGCAATGTCAACTTTCAGAGGAATTACAAAATGACAAGTTATTATTTAGTCATTTCCTCTTAATCACAATTAAACCCAAGGTACCGTAGTCCGTATCATGCCTGATCGAGATGGTATTGGTACTGAAATATACCAATGCGTAAGTGGTATACATCTTGCCCGGAAGATTTACGTTGAAATTTATCAGCTGAAGATTAAAGTTATTTGAGTTTTGTGAGCTTCTGAGACAATCAACCTGTCGTATCACTTAAATATTTCCAGAGCCCCTCGCCAGTTGCCCCAACTGTGACAATATGTGTAATGTGAAGTGTGAACTACAAGTACAGACACAGTGTGAGTAATTTCCAGTTACGTTGACAGTAATAACTTTCAGTTGCACTATATCCTGCATCAGGTGACCGCTACCAGTAAATCAGATAGCGCCAACCGTGGCCCGTGACACAGTTGATGTCATTGCAAATGAGCATAATCTATCGAGCATCCAGAGTCTGACATTACCTTAACCGCGATTAATACTTTGGAACCCCAGGCTTTAAGGTTCATAAACATAGAGATTCGGCGGAATGACAGGCTGAGCGCCGCCCGCACCGGTAAACCGTGATAAGTTAAAATTGGAACAAGTGAAATACAAATATTCTGGTCAAAAATGAAATCACAATAAGCTGTACGATAGAACATTTTAGAATTCACAATTCTGCTCAATTTAACCGAATTAATTAAAAGGTTTTTACATCATTGTATTATTACTTTTACAATCGATAAAATTGATAATAAAATTAATAATTATAACTATTATACTCTATAAACCGGGCCTCTCCGGGGAAATGAAAAGTGCATGGTGTAGAAAAAACCCGGTATAGAGAGATTCACATACTCCCAATCCCCAATGTATGTAGCCTCTCAATTAACATGTCAAGTGTACCATTATCCCATTAGGCCTACACTTCTTGCACAAAACGAGCTAATTAACCAAATGTTTTGGGGAAAGGAGGAGGCGCGGTATAGTATCTCGAGGAACCGGGTATAGAGAGGCACAGTATATAGAGGTTTGACTGTATTCAAATATAGAGGTCGTCATATTCATCATTCAATTATCTACCTCTTAATAATATTAATTGTCATAGATAGAATTGATAATGAGCGCAGTTCACAATAACAATAAATGCCTTTACAACAAAAGCTTTAAATAAGACATAAGACATCGTATCTCTGGTACAGGTCTGTACTCCACTTGTACTTTGTAGTCTGTACTCCACTCACAGGAACATTTATATAAAGTCAAACAAGATAATTCCATACACAATATTCACACATATAATACACGAAAATGATAACAATAACACCAATGCTGTCAGTCCCATTCAGGTTTCTTTGGAGCAGTTGTTGCGGGTTCGTATAAATACTCTGATCAAATCAAAATGAAAGTCTAAAACATCTTCAACGTTCATCGTCCAGCGAACAGAAGACCAGTTTCATTATCCTTCGCTCTCTAATTAGCTAATTGTTTCAATCTTCTTTCTTTTCAGGCACCGGCGTCGTCCCTGAATAATTTGACTGTGAAGTTATGAAAAAGGAAAGTTGTTTTGATCATCACAATTTACAAAACATCTATCACTATCAGGTAATATCTAGATCCCTGATAAAACATATCCTTGTGTTCAACTAACCCTCTTTATCACTATCAGCTGGTAGCTCTTCTAGTTCGTCCCCTGTGTGATCAGGGGTGTTTGTCATCGTCACCTCGTTCTCTAAAGTTTCTCTAGCTTCTGAAACACGATTAATTGGTCAACATTTTATTCATAATTGTTATAAATACCTTTTTAATCGAAAAAGTGTAACAAACTATTTTTGTGCGTGTTTTGAATGTGTTTTGGCAAGTTTTAAATAATTGACGGTTATTTCAGGATAATTTTTCAGATTTTCTAAACAATGGTTTATGAGATGGTTTGTTTACCCTTGGTATGAAAAACGCAGCAAAACAATAATAGAATTCCTCCCTAAACTAAGATAAGACACCCCCTAAACTCAGATAAAACAACCCCCTAAATAAAGATAAAACGTCCCCTAAATTATGTTATCCAAACCTCGTAAAACAGATGAGTCGGAGTTGAATGAGTCCTGAAAGTAATCCTCCTGTCCCTCCGATATCGGGGATAATCCTTCTGACATCTGTTAGGAGAAAATAACTGATTAAAAATGCGTTCCCGTTATTACATCATTAATTAGGCAATATAATTTACCTTATCGGACATAATTGTCACGGACAAGTTTTTCACGGACCAAATCAAATTCATAGTGACCATGGTGTTTTAACTTAAGTACTTTAACTTACTGTTATGTACATTTAATACAGAGTGAATGTGACTGAGGAGTGATTACTGATTATAGTATACTAATAAGCTAATAGTAGTAATCGGCTACACACATATCTACGCATATGCAGGGACACACACACTAAAATCAATGTAAATAATTACCGGACTTACGGACCTTAATGCCACAGACATTATTTTCACGGACATAATTATTCACGCTAAGGTGACAATTATGTCCGATAAGGTAAGTCTTAACTGCGAACATGTGACAGTGACTACCATCAATGGAAAAGACTTATTTCCTTTAAAAGACTTATTTCCTCCAAAAGACTTATTTCCTCCCGATATACCAAAGTATGGCACGTCTTATGACGACAATATCGACTGGCTAACAACGTTCTCTCAACCAGATCTACGCGCCAGTGTTCTGTATAAAGGTCCTATATTAGCTATTACCGAGCACAACATTAGTCGCATAACTTGCCCATCTAGCATTTTCTCAATAAGCATATATAAGAAATCAGCGAAGCGTGTAATGATAGAACTACAAAGCTCAGGAAACGATGAAGAATGGCCACCTTTTCTGTTACATAATTTACCCGGGCTACCGTAAATCGACAAGATCAGGCACACAACAAATCAACTACCGAGAATAAACTAAGGAATAAATAAAACCAGACGGTTAGCACACTAGTCACTATCAACCATATGCCACTTTTTTCACTGCCCATTCACTGTCATATTAATAGCATCATATAGATAGCGCTAGCAGGTGCTGATAAGACATGGGCTCAGTTTTTCTTTTTTTGTTTTAACCTCAAGTAGCTTATAAAACAGTGCGTGTGATCATCTGTCGTATCAAATCAAATTATTTGTCACTATATGTTAATAAATCATGATATACAAGTTTTAATTTTTAAAGTTTCTGTTTTTGTTTTTAATGAATAGACGTAATCAACATTTTCACTTTTCATATTCACGCATATTAAATAAAATTATATTGTTATGTATTATATTATTTTGTAAACATTGGCCGGGTATAAAAAACCGGTCCCCAAACAAAAACAAACAAACAATAGAATAATGAAGCAACGAGAATAGGTAGAACTCACATTAGTCATGGACGGCTGAAGTGCATCGACCGTTTCAACTTCTCCGTCGGCGTTATGGACTTGCTCACTTTCTACTGCAGGCGGTTTAACTTCCTCACCTTGTTCTTCCTTTACCGCTGTCTCTTCTTCTTGCTTTTCTTCTTCTCCAGCTTGTTCTCCCGAACTAGGTTCTGCCTGACACATGGCGAAAATTTAAATTCAAAATTATCTGTGCCTTCAATAAATATTTAGTACGCTGCTTTTCAATCTACGAAAGAGCACAAAGTTTTGAAAAGTAAAACACGGCACATTCAAAAGAAGATTTCTCGAAGTTTCAGTATTGTAACCTGTTTTTCTGGGCTATCGACCTCTTTTTGCTCCGTCTCTCCTTTAGCTTCATTATCATTCGAATCTGACTTCTCTGCATCTGTGGTGTCATTTTGTGATTCTTCATTTGGTGGTTGTGATTCTTCATTTTGAGATTCTTCATTGGGTGGTCGTGATTCTTCATTACGTGGTTGTGATTCTTCATTTTGTGATTCTTCACTGGGTGGTTGTGATTCTTCATTTTGTGGTTGTGATTCTTCATTTTTTGGTTGTGATTCTTCATTTGGTGATTGTGATTCTTCATTTGGTAGCTGTGATTCTTCATTTGGTGATTGGGCTTGCTCAATTTGGGAACCATTTTCTTCTATATTTGATAAAGCTTGCTCAATTAATGATTGTGCTACCTCAAGTTTAGACTGTGCTTTCTCTAACATTTGGGATTGTACTTTTCCGATAAGTGATTTAGACTGATCAATATCTGGTTGTGCTTGATTTAATGATTGTGCTACCTCAATTTTAGACTCCTTCTCTAACATTTGGGATTGTACTTTTTCTATAAGTGATTTAGACTGATCAATATCTGATTGTGCTTGATTTATTTGCGAACGTGCTGCTGCTATCTTTTGTATAGATTCCGTAGTTGGTGTCCCGGATGCCGATTGAGCACGTGTTTCTTCAATTTTTGTTTCTGCGGCCTCAATTCTTGATTGTGCAAGATCTAAATGTGATTGTGCTAATGTGACTGACATTTGTGTTCGTGTCAGCGCCATTTGTGATTGTGCCCCCATGACGGACATTCCCGACCTGGTTGGTGATTTTGACAGATGCCATTGAGCCTGTGATTGAGATCGCTTGACGATGCCGTCTGTTTCATTTACTGTAAGCTCAGGAGTAACTGTGAGCTCAGGAGTTACCCGTGGAGTATGATTTTCTGAGTCGTGAGGTAATTCTGGCAAGTCCTGGCCATCTAAGTAAAATGAAGTGTAAAACATTACAGAAAGTGATAAAACATTACAGAAATAAATCATGCTCGTTACACCCGATTTAACCCAGGCTGAACAAGATACAGATGATATGTTAATAATAAACCAGCTACTGACTGACCATGACCATTACATTGAAGTATCGTGATTGTGAATATTATTTAAAGTATTGAACGTCTTATTTACAAATATGACGTTCAAATGACTCCAGAACCTCACCTTCCAGAGTGCGTTGAGATGACGATTTATTGTTATCTTTAGGACTGTCAGTTGGGAGATCACTACACACATCATTCTCAGTCTTATCGGTCGCTCCTTGCACGCTTCCTATCTCTGCTATGCCCTTAACAAGATACAAATTAACAAGACCCAAAAGTGTTCTCTTCCCTTTATCAAACGTAAAGAAAATACCTTACAAGACATTTTTGTGGCGGACCAATGTGCGACGACCGAAATTTTGGCGGTCCGAAAATATGGCGAAATTGAACAAAAACCGTCACATTTCGGACGTCACAGAAAATAAGGGTATTTTTCATCATTTTGTTTTCTGACACAAAGGAAATTCAAAATTTTCTAAAAATCGGTAAAATCATGTTGAAACAAAATGAAACTTATAAATCGATTTCTTCATCTTCCTCTAGGGGGTCCGGCTCGAATCTTTCAGTTTCACTTATTGAGTTTGGTATTAAATTGTTTATCTTGACTTAGTCTATAAGACGTTTATGTTAGCACATAAATGTAATTTATTGTAAATTTAAAACGTATAACTTGACATTAAATTCATCATGGAATATTGTGTTTATTTGTCCCACCATCATATCACTAACTTTTCAAGAACAAAATGAATCGATGAAGCCACAATTATTGGAATAAGCTAAAAATAATGCGACGGATTCTATTACGACGACCGAAATTTTGGCGGTCCGAAAATATGGCGAAATTTCGGGAAAACCGTCGCATTTCGTACGTTATAAAAATGTCTTGTAAGGTAAGTTAAGTGGTTCAAAAATTTTCATACTAAAGTCGATTTCAAGAAAATTTTCACGAAGACTCCCTGCCCCCTTAAATTTATACTGATAGTTCAGATTAAGCTTCGCAGTTCGCAGTAAGGGAAAACATCTGTTATCTCTAATATCTGTAATATGTAATATGAGCATTCCTCAGTCGAAAAACAAGCACACATACAACATACTTGCAAACAAACATACCTCAGAAGTATCCAGACCTTGGCTCGTGAAAGATTTGCTCTTACTGCTACGTATCGTCATGCTGGCTCCAAATATCTGCTCTATACTCTTAAGGGCATGTTCAGCCGAGGAACTGCCGTGTAGTCCGTTCTTCAAGATGTCCTTACCTGAGCAGGATTTAAATTAATGAACGCTCGGGGATTCGTGATACTACTGAGCAATATTAATAAGCTAGTAGATAATGATTAATGATGCTGTTTAGCTGTTTAGATAACAGATTCAGGGCTGTGTGGTTGGGATATCGTTATGATGGGCATTTTGGGCAAAGTACGATATGTATAAACCAATGCAGCGAGATTGACTTAACGTTAATTCCAAGTCTGCATGTACCGAAAAAACTATTGATTGCCGAAACTTTTATTATTATTTAAAAATTGTATCAGTAGCCTCGTTTCACCCACCTAGTTTTGACCGAAGAGACTGCGGTTTAGTCGCTTTTGCCTCACTCGGATCTGCTGGACCAATAATTTCCCGCCATTTTTCGACAGCGTTGTTTGCAGAGAGGACCAAAAATGTTGACTCCCCACTGAAAATACAGATGATTTTTTAAACTGTTGAATGTCGATGAAAATATTCGGCATCATATACTTCAGGAAGAAAAATCTCTCCTCGAAAGCAAATATAGGGACCAGGGAGGGGTTGATCCAGGGATGTCTAGAAAGTCTAAAATCAAAGTGCTAGTGATGTCATTTGAACAAACATTCGTTTCTTCATCGCATTTCTTGGATTCATCGCTAACATTATGTTACAAAATTAATATCTAATTGAAATAAGAGACATCTTACTCTACTGAATTTATAATTTCATTTAATTATATTACAAATGCAATTTTTCAATCGGCATTCCGAATAATAACTCAGACTTGAATATGGATATTTTGTGATAACAAAGAATGTGCACACACATTAGTAACACCGAACACGTAATACTAATTAGCCCAGGCTGCACTTCGAGCTTTTGCTTTTGACAAAAGATGGTCATCAACAGCGCAAGCTTTCGAAAGTCTTCAAGTTTTGTTTTGAATAAGGTAACACTGACGTTAGACTTTACACTGTCCTATTCAATTTTGAGTTTCGGTAAAAACATACATTTCGTACTTTAGCGAAAAACTAATAAAAACAGTAAAATATGAAAAGTAATTTAAACTCTAGCTCAATAATTTAAAAACTATTCCTTCAGGTTATAATAATTGTAATGGCGGCAGCGGGGCACTGGGCAGCTCAAAAGAGTAATCAAGCGGAATTTTGAACGCACTTTTCTTAAGAAGAAGCTCCGCGAAAATGCAGGGGGTTGTGATCAGACTATCTTGCGCGAGGCTGCAATATTTATACATTCAAACACTCTGGTGCATCTGATAAGAGAGTTGGATAATGACAAGATGATGACAGATGATGACAGATGATGAAGGCACACCTTACTGCAACTGGTAGCATGCAATTTGTTCATGTTCTGGTATAAATAGCTGGTACTCCTGCAATACAGGCTACAGCTAGAGTAACGACGGACAACAAAATGAGACTTCATTTAGCTTGAAGTGAGGGACACTAGTCACTACTAGGTCATAGTTTAGCATATTTCCAAAAAATGCTACAAAAGTGGTTTAACAATAAAGAATAGTGTGATTAGTGATACCATCCGGCCGAAACGGCATACAATAGAATATAGACGAGTACAGTCACTTCATGACTACAGTATAGAGTAAGAATACGAATTTGACATCCACCAGCAGTTCAAGAGAGGAAACACCCTCATTTAACAGTTTTAAAACAGGGCCAGGGAGCGAAACATCACAATAACTTTCATCCTGCAAGATTTCACAATCTTGCAGGATTTTTGGCGTCGACCGAACGTTGTATTGGTACAATTTGCTGCTAAATTGGACGATTTTTCGTCAGACCTACAATTCGGGATAAAAAGCCAACCCCTCCGGTGGTCATTTTTAACAAAAGTTGATCTAGATTAGTTTTATGAAAGTTGAGAATATTATGACTGGGATAAAGTGGTGGGTTTTGGCAAATTCCGTCATATTTTTCCCGGTCATAAATTTTCCTAGTCATAAATTAACCCGCTATAATATTCCCGAGTAAGGTACTTAAGTTGGTTTGGAAATGGCCAAGAAAATTTCAGCTGTAAAAGCATGTGTTGCATGCGCGCAAATAAGTTAGTTTGAAATATATATACTCGCGCCTTTGTGTCACAGTCGATACTTCTGAGGTTCTTTGCTTAATTTTATTGTAACCGCGCGTTCCATACAGAAGTACTTGAGACCAGAATTGCCGGATTTTTGCCGGATAATCGCGCTGCAAATTTCCCAAACTTTTCCAAAATATCACTTAAAATCATGGCCAACTGTCCACAAAACTCGGCAAATATTAACAGGATAATACCAACTTCCACATATACCACTGTGAAGTAATATAGACATAGCGATCACTAGGTAATACCTGAAACACAAGGATAAGTTTTGTTATTTGGCGCTGATTTTTTTGCCGGATTCTTGAATAACGGAAAATTGTATTGATAAATGTTCTTTAAACTCTTCAAATAGTTAGAACATTATAATACAGTCCATTTCAGGGAGTATAAAAAAATTTCTTCGTCTGTGAGTGGAGATACAAGGTCAAACACAAGAAAATATCTTCATTTGGCCAGAATTTTTGCCGGATTCTTGAATAACGGAAAATTGTATTGATAAATGTTCTTTAAACTCTTCAAATAGTTAGAGCACTATAATACGGTCAATTTCAGGGAGTATAAAAACATTTCTTCGTCTGTGAGTGGAGATACAAGGTCAAACACAAGAAAATATCTTCATTTGGCCAGAATTTTTGCCGGATTCTTGAATAACGGAAAATTGTATTGATAAATGTTCTTTAAACTCTTCAAATAGTTAGAGCACTATAATACGGTCAATTTCAGGGAGTATAAAAACATTTCTTCGTCTGTGAGTGGAGATACAAGGTCAAACACAAGAAAATATCTTCATTTGGCCAGAATTTTTGCCGGATTCTTGAATAACGGAAAATTGTATTGATAAATGTTCTTTAAACTCTTCAAATAGTTAGAGCACTATAATACGGTCAATTTCAGGGAGTATAAAAAATTTCTTCGTCTGTGAGTGGAGATACAAGGTCAAACACAAGAAAATATCTTCATTTGGCCAGAATTTTTGCCGGATTCTTAAATAACGGAAAATTGTATTGATAAATTTTCTTTAAACTCTTCAGATAGTTAGAGCACTATAATACGGTCAATTTCAGGGAGTATAAAAAAGCTGGAGCTAATTTACTTGAAGCACTATGTGCATGAGAGACCACGTTATAGTCACGTGCTCCTCCATCTGCATCTACACTGGCACATGCATATGTCGTGTGACACTTCGCACTGCCACGTAATAGTCTGTAATTGGCCAGCGTTTCTGACACGTGACCTCCCTTTAACCAGCTCACTGCCAGAATCTGTTTAGCAGGACAAATAATTCACTGTCAAACTCTTAACAAAGACTCGGTCTGCTTACAGATTCGCAGTGTTCGAACTTACTGTCACAATTTGCACCGAAGTAAGTAAGTCCGAACGGTTTTTGTCTTTATTCAAAGTGAATTCAATGTTTTTTGAATCTTGGAAACATTTTCATGTTCATGTTGATGTGAAGTTGTAAAACGTTTATTTTGCCAATTGGTTAAATGTGCAATCGTCTAACTTCTTTTAAATCTAGTTTAATCCAAATAGTAATCTGTGAAGTTACTGATCACAGAAAATTATCATTGTAGGTCTACACTCTACGTGGGTTCCGGTTTTTCCGACTTCGACAGTATAGTGGGGTGTACGATACCAAGTCCTCTGCGGATGGATCCTGCTGAGTTATTAGATGATCCCAAACTTCCATCTTGATTAGACCCTGGAAGATTATGTTGCATAGTATGTTCATCCCCACGACCGAGCTACGATCGGTTCAGAAAGTCCTACTTTATATCATCTCTCTATTACCATGTTAGACTTATTAAATTTACACAGTAGGTTCCTGCTTCAGCAATAAAATTTGTGGTTTGAAAACTTAGTTTTAAATTAATTTAAATTTTTAAGTCTAAAAAATTCTGGCCAAATGAAGATATTTTCTTGTGTTTGACCTTGTATCTCCACTCACAGACGAAGAAATGTTTTTATACTCCCTGAAATTGACCGTATTATAGTGCTCTAACTATTTGAAGAGTTTAAAGAAAATTTATCAATACAATTTTCCGTTATTCAAGAATCCGGCAAAAATTCTGGCAATATGAAGATATTTTCTTGTGTTTGACCTTGTATCTCCACTCACAGACGAAGAAATTTTTTTATACTCCCTGAAATTGACCGTATTATAGTGCTCTAACTATTTGGAGAGTTTAAAGAACATTTATCAATACAATTTTCCGTTATTCAAGAATCCGGCAAAAATTCTGGCCAAATGAAGATATTTTCTTGTGTTTGACCTTGTATCTCCACTCACAGACGAAGAAATTTGTTTATACTCCCTGAAATTGACCGTACTATAGTGCTCTAACTATTTGAAGAGTTTAAAGAACATTTATCAATACAATTTTCCGTTATTCAAGAATCCGGCAAAAATCCGGCAAAACGCTCTCAAGTAGCCCTCGTTCCATAAAAATGTTGGGTAGACCCTTTCTGTCAGTGTTCACAATATTTTATTAGTACGAAAAATTGGTTGAAGAATAAGGTAACACTGACGTTAGACTTTACACTGTCCTATTCAATTTTGAGTTTCGGTAAAAACATACATTTCGTACTTTAGCGAAAAACTAATAAAAACAGTAAAATATGAAAAGTAATTTAAACTCTAGCTCAATAATTTAAAAACTATTCCTTCAGGTTATAATAATTGTAATGGCGGCAGCGGGGCACTGGGCAGCTCAAAAGAGTAATCAAGCGGAATTTTGAACGCACTTTTCTTAAGAAGAAGCTCCGCGAAAATGCAGGGGGTTGTGATCAGACTATCTTGCGCGAGGCTGCAATATTTATACATTCAAACACTCTGGTGCATCTGATAAGAGAGTTGGATAATGACAAGATGATGACAGATGATGACAGATGATGAAGGCACACCTTACTGCAACTGGTAGCATGCAATTTGTTCATGTTCTGGTATAAATAGCTGGTACTCCTGCAATACAGGCTACAGCTAGAGTAACGACGGACAACAAAATGAGACTTCATTTAGCTTGAAGTGAGGGACACTAGTCACTACTAGGTCATAGTTTAGCATATTTCCAAAAAATGCTACAAAAGTGGTTTAACAATAAAGAATAGTGTGATTAGTGATACCATCCGGCCGAAACGGCATACAATAGAATATAGACGAGTACAGTCACTTCATGACTACAGTATAGAGTAAGAATACGAATTTGACATCCACCAGCAGTTCAAGAGAGGAAACACCCTCATTCAACAGTTTTAAAACAGGGCCAGGGAGCGAAACATCACAATAACTTTCATCCTGCAAGATTTCACAATCTTGCAGGATTTTTGGCGTCGACCGAACGTTGTATTGGTACAATTTGCTGCTAAATTGGACGATTTTTCGTCAGACCTACAATTCGGGATAAAAAGCCAACCCCTCCGGTGGTCATTTTTAACAAAAGTTGATCTAGATTAGTTTTATGAAAGTTGAGAATATTATGACTGGGATAAAGTGGTGGGTTTTGGCAAATTCCGTCATATTTTTCCCGGTCATAAATTTTCCTAGTCATAAATTAACCCGCTATAATATTCCCGAGTAAGGTACTTAAGTTGGTTTGGAAATGGCCAAGAAAATTTCAGCTGTAAAAGCATGTGTTGCATGCGCGCAAATAAGTTAGTTTGAAATATATATACTCGCGCCTTTGTGTCACAGTCGATACTTCTGAGGTTCTTTGCTTAATTTTATTGTAACCGCGCGTTCCATACAGAAGTACTTGAGACCAGAATTGCCGGATTTTTGCCGGATAATCGCGCTGCAAATTTCCCAAACTTTTCCAAAATATCACTTAAAATCATGGCCAACTGTCCACAAAACTCGGCAAATATTAACAGGATAATACCAACTTCCACATATACCACTGTGAAGTAATATAGACATAGCGATCACTAGGTAATACCTGAAACACAAGGATAAGTTTTGTTATTTGGCGCTGATTTTTTTGCCGGATTCTTGAATAACGGAAAATTGTATTGATAAATGTTCTTTAAACTCTTCAAATAGTTAGAACATTATAATACAGTCCATTTCAGGGAGTATAAAAAAATTTCTTCGTCTGTGAGTGGAGATACAAGGTCAAACACAAGAAAATATCTTCATTTGGCCAGAATTTTTGCCGGATTCTTGAATAACGGAAAATTGTATTGATAAATGTTCTTTAAACTCTTCAAATAGTTAGAGCACTATAATACGGTCAATTTCAGGGAGTATAAAAACATTTCTTCGTCTGTGAGTGGAGATACAAGGTCAAACACAAGAAAATATCTTCATTTGGCCAGAATTTTTGCCGGATTCTTGAATAACGGAAAATTGTATTGATAAATGTTCTTTAAACTCTTCAAATATTTAGAGCACTATAATACGGTCAATTTCAGGGAGTATAAAAACATTTCTTCGTCTGTGAGTGGAGATACAAGGTCAAACACAAGAAAATATCTTCATTTGGCCAGAATTTTTGCCGGATTCTTGAATAACGGAAAATTGTATTGATAAATGTTCTTTAAACTCTTCAAATAGTTAGAGCACTATAATACGGTCAATTTCAGGGAGTATAAAAAATTTCTTCGTCTGTGAGTGGAGATACAAGGTCAAACACAAGAAAATATCTTCATTTGGCCAGAATTTTTGCCGGATTCTTAAATAACGGAAAATTGTATTGATAAATTTTCTTTAAACTCTTCAGATAGTTAGAGCACTATAATACGGTCAATTTCAGGGAGTATAAAAAAGCTGGAGCTAATTTACTTGAAGCACTATGTGCATGAGAGACCACGTTATAGTCACGTGCTCCGCCATCTGCATCTACACTGGCACATGCATATGTCGTGTGACACTTCGCACTGCCACGTAATAGTCTGTAATTGGCCAGCGTTTCTGACACGTGACCTCCCTTTAACCAGCTCACTGCCAGAATCTGTTTAGCAGGACAAATAATTCACTGTCAAACTCTTAACAAAGACTCGGTCTGCTTACAGATTCGCAGTGTTCGAACTTACTGTCACAATTTGCACCGAAGTAAGTAAGTCCGAACGGTTTTTGTCTTTATTCAAAGTGAATTCAATGTTTTTTGAATCTTGGAAACATTTTCATGTTCATGTTGATGTGAAGTTGTAAAACGTTTATTTTGCCAATTGGTTAAATGTGCAATCGTCTAACTTCTTTTAAATCTAGTTTAATCCAAATAGTAATCTGTGAAGTTACTGATCACAGAAAATTATCATTGTAGGTCTACACTCTACGTGGGTTCCGGTTTTTCCGACTTCGACAGTATAGTGGGGTGTACGATACCAAGTCCTCTGCGGATGGATCCTGCTGAGTTATTAGATGATCCCAAACTTCCATCTTGATTAGACCCTGGAAGATTATGTTGCATAGTATGTTCATCCCCACGACCGAGCTACGATCGGTTCAGAAAGTCCTACTTTATATCATCTCTCTATTACCATGTTAGACTTATTAAATTTACACAGTAGGTTCCTGCTTCAGCAATAAAATTTGTGGTTTGAAAACTTAGTTTTAAATTAATTTAAATTTTTAAGTCTAAAAAATTCTGGCCAAATGAAGATATTTTCTTGTGTTTGACCTTGTATCTCCACTCACAGACGAAGAAATGTTTTTATACTCCCTGAAATTGACCGTATTATAGTGCTCTAACTATTTGAAGAGTTTAAAGAAAATTTATCAATACAATTTTCCGTTATTCAAGAATCCGGCAAAAATTCTGGCAATATGAAGATATTTTCTTGTGTTTGACCTTGTATCTCCACTCACAGACGAAGAAATTTTTTTATACTCCCTGAAATTGACCGTATTATAGTGCTCTAACTATTTGGAGAGTTTAAAGAACATTTATCAATACAATTTTCCGTTATTCAAGAATCCGGCAAAAATCCGGCAAAACGCTCTCAAGTAGCCCTCGTTCCATAAAAATGTTGGGTAGACCCTTTCTGTCAGTGTTCACAATATTTTATTAGTACGAAAAATTGGTTGAAGGGCAGAGGATTTGATTTCATTCCACTTCAATAACCTGTTAATGAAAATGAGAATATTGACAATTTGATATCATTTAATTCTGTTATAATACAACAGCGTTGCCATAAATAAGATTTATAAAATAAAAAAATAAGACACTGCTTCAAACTTCTAACCTGGCCATATAACTGCAGAGGTCTCCGTAGAATTCCTTGTTTTTGTGCTCGTCATAAAAGGAGCCTGCCTCGTCTTGAGATAATGTAACTGTTTTCTGTGCCTGTATTACTATACCAGCTTCTTCAATCCTCTTCATTATTTCTTCTTTTTTCTCCATCATTTCAGGTTTTATACAGGCGACGGTTTGTTCCTGTTAGATTTTGTCATTTGAACGCAAACTTACTTGTACTTACTTACCGTGAAATTATGAATACTTTGCGCTATAACTTGACTTCATTGATAATTTAACTTTATTGAATGATCGTTCACACTGGATGAATTGCCTAAATCTTGTAAGCATGAAGTGATACATAAGATCATTTTATTCAAGCTAAAATTCTTTTAATAAAACCAAAATATCAGGAAATCACGAACAGCAGGGAAGAAGAAGTTGAGTTCATCAACAGCTTCCTCGGCAGTAGAACTACCATGCAGACCGTTAATAATATCATCTGTAGTGAAAGTAGCTCGCATACTTTCTGGAGCAGTCTCCTTAGCTTCTGGTACCAAGGTCGGCCCCAGGACACTCCTCCATTGCTGAAATATGTGAAATATGTGAAATATGTAGGTTAGCGTGCGCTAGTGTCTAACTTGTTGAGATACTATGACTGTTGGCTGGTCGAAGCACCAATTGTATGACTCCTGGCTGATCATTTTCCTGAACTTAATGTTAGTGCATGTAACTTACATAAAGTAGTATTTGGACAATATTTATTAGTTTATGTTAATAAGTACACACGATAAATTACAGCATACAGATTACAGATAAATACTAAATTAGGAGACCTAAAAGATAAGGTTCCAACCAAGTCATTATTCTAAGACACGATGGTTCCCCCACCCAAACTAGACACCCAACTAACCCATAACCCAATTCTAACAACCCCCTCCCCAAACGCTCCCACAGAAAAGCCCGGGCCGATCCGGACCTCTAAACTCACTAAATGCCGTGGTTAATTCGAGCGCTACAATCAATGGCAAATTTTGCCACCCATTTCTTAACGCTAGAGCCCAGAATCGTGTCTATGTGCAACCTAAATATCAGTTGTAACCAGAACTTCATGCCCACTGAATACATCAGTCGAAATTTTGAGTTGATTCCAGGTATATCATGAATTAATTATTTATTATAAGGAATATCTATCTGAGGGTTAATTATTGCTCTAATAAATGTTACTAAACACCTAAACAGGCACCGTGCAGGTGAGATTTGGAAGGGCCTGTTAGAACTCGAAGCTAGTCAAATAGATAACATAATAGTGTTCCACAAATAACCGTTTCAATTTATTGGAGCCAGTATCAACTATCAACTAAGTAAGATTATCAAGTTTAAATATAGTGTAGCTACGAGAGTACAAGGGTACCTTTATTGTAGAGTATGATCAAGCCAGCTCACAATAACCCTGGGTAACCCATGACAATTGCTAGGCCCTCGCCCCTCATAGTAAGTGTACTAAATATACTGGGGTTAGAGTCCGATCCGGGGCACTGGTTCAGTCAACCAAGCTACAAAGTATTTGGCAAAAAGGTACAATACCGACCGGCTATTGACCGGCTATTATTTACCAAACATTTATATCCAACAATGTTGAAAACACAGTATTCAGTAACTTAAATACTATTTACTATTACATAGTAGTAATTTAGTAATTAAGTAGTAATTAGTAGTAATATAGTAATTAAGTAGTAATTTAGTAGTTAACCTACCCTGACAGCGTCCCTGCTACACAAAGCTAGAACTAAACTAGGACCGCTGATCATCTGGGATACCAGCACTTCAAAGAACGGCTCCTCACGGTGTTTCCGGTAAAAGGTCTCGGCCATGGTGCGGGTCATCACGAACTCTCGTTGGAGTGCGATACTGAACCCTAGCTCTGTTAGTCTGGATAGAATCGTTTCCTAAATGAGAACTTTGTTTGGTACATTGTAACTTTTTAAGTGCATTTTTTTACCGAAATTTGAACATTTCGTTGGGCAGCTTTTAATGTTTTAAAAAATGTAAACATTTGGTATTACTTTAAATTCGTTGTATAGTTGAAAGCAGTTACATAATATAGTACAGTACCCTGTGGCTCGGAATTCCAGAAACCTCGATTTACCGTAACGTTTTTGCTTCAATCAGTTAAATTCTATTTAAATATGTCTAGACAGAAGTTTCAAATCAGGATACGAGGCTTGCAATATTTCTCAATAAATCCAGGTTCAGCTAAATCATAAAGACCTAAAGCCGACGCCTCAAACCGACCCCAAAAACGGTACTAAAAATAACTACAGTTACTGGTAATTTACCCCCGGACCTTCTGGCCTCTCATCGACTTACCAAATACATCAAGCAGAGCTGAATAGAGCATTAACTATTAATTATTAACTATTAACTATTAACTATTAACTATTTACTATTAACTATTTACTATTAACTATTAATTTATTTATTAAAAGAGCAACAGGAATTTTACCTTGTACTGCTTGTTGGTGTCGGGACGAATTATGCACAGAGTTCTTTCCAATCCAGCTGTCTCGTTTTTAAAATTGGGAAAGAAGAACGCCAGCTCGTTTACTGCTGTGTCCTGAAAAATAGGGTGGTTAGTGTCAATGTTTAATACAGACTACAGAGTATGATTTATAGCGGAGTGATCACCATCTACTTTTTAACACTCATTTATTTTAATCCTTGTTAACTCTATAATGTCGTATGATTATGAAACGAATATCGTCATGATGTGATGAACCATGTTTGTCATGGAAACGCAGTGGATAACTGGTAGAATGGAAGAGGTTGTAAGTTATTGATAGGATCTTTCAATACTGATTACTGATCACTTGATCACGCATAAAGATCACATCATGGGACCACAGATAGGATGAAGATCACATCAGCGTATGTTATCTGATCAGGCGTCCCCTAAAGCACTAAAGTAAATATTTAAGGTATCCAATCGCTGAACAGCCCAATCAGCGTAGGGGAAGATCCAATCATCGGATCTTGTCACACTGCTCGAAATCCGATCCCATGTGAGAAAAGGGCATGACTGATGACTGTTACCATGCTCGCCCCTGTCAACTGTCAAGCTAACTATAAATACCACCCCATGTCTCACTCCCGTATCAAACATTCAAACAATTCACTCTTTTCTACATCTATTGATCTCTTCTAATGATGAACTCTATCAAACTGAACTCTCCACTCTTCGCTGACTCTTACCAAGCAATCAGACTTCTTGGAGAAGGTGGATATGGAGCTGTGTGGCTGGTCAAGCGGATCTCTGATGGTACTCTCCACGCTGCTAAGATTATCAACGACTCCAAATGCAAGAGGAAGACCTGGTGTGAAGGCAGATCAGCGATGATACCAGACGAGATACTGTTGTCGGAGACCCTGGACCACCCTAATCTGATCAGCCTTCACGAGATCTATTTTGAGCAGAGTTGCTGGATTATTGTGATGGAGTACCTACCAGACTTTACTGACCTATTTGACCACATCTCTCAGAACGGAGCCCTGTCTGTGGAGAATGCCCGTGAAGTCCTGACCCAGCTCCTGGATACCTGCACCTACCTCATTTCAATTGGGATCGACCACAGGGACATCAAGGATGAGAACATCCTCTACAATCCTCTTACTCACCGGATAAAACTGATTGACTTCGGTTCAGCTTCCAGGATTCCTGATACTCCCTATACCTCATATCAAGGAACGGAGGTATATCTACCACCAGAGCACTTCAAATGTGGGCTCTACTCCGCTCTCCCCGCCATGACTTGGAGTATTGGGTGTCTGGCGTACGTCCTCCTGAACGGTGACTGTCCTTTCTCAACCAAGCAAGAAGTAGCAGAACATCAACATCTCAAGTTTATCAACCCTCGACTAGATCAGGAGAGCAAGGAGTTTCTACATGATATACTTACTATTGATCAAGAAGATAGGATGACACCTGGAGAACTTATATTTCACCCCTGGATGGACTGGATTTCTATGGATTAAACTTAACATTTAAACAATAACTATTGCAGTATTTTGATGTTTTGTGTATTGATAATCTATTTAATTCAATATTACAATTTTTATTTTTTACTCATTTTCTACAATTACTTTCATAAAACTGTTTACATTTTATTGACTCAATCATCTTCTAATATAATATGATGTAATTCGAGGTTAATTCTGCATAAAACCACCACTAAGATCTTACATTTTTCAAACTGCTACAGTTGCATCATTTAGGTAATTTTATTTATGAGTCAACACTTAACAACATGTCAAGCTTTTGATCCCTTGGGCACGTTTGTACAGTTATTCTGTATCTACTACGGTAGAAGCTATATAAGCATAACTATAGCGTGTAGACTGTAGAGTTTATCAAAGTATTTGAACTGTAGTGTAGATCTAGCAAGAATCTTTGCGGGAGGTATGTCACATGTAACAACTACACTCTTCAAGCTCTTCAAGCAATGACACTTAGCCCAATCAGTTCCTTGTCACTCGTACAGTTACATACACTTCAAATACTATGGGCCGTCGCGTTCGTTGGCATTTTTAATGGCGAAAATAGGTTAGGGAAAAAATGTTTCGTTGTGAATATACTATGAGAGTATCATATTGTGCATGGATAATATAAGAGATGGTACGAATAAAAGTGTTATATAAGGTGTAGTATAAAGTATTGCCAGATCCCAGTTCATTTTGTAACGGAGTTTTATATTAACAGGAAACGATGTAACAGAGTCGATATATTTTAATGTTGCCATGGGGTGGCAAGTCCCCATACATCGTGGTCCGGTAGTTTCATTGCGTCCTAATATATAGGTGTTAGTATATTAACAACAAATATATTATAATGTACATCATAGCATAGGAGGGAGGGGGTTTCCAAATGATTACGCTAGTGTAATTTTGACACAATAGCTATGACGTGTAAAACTGATCACGGAGGGGGGGGGGGGGGGGGGGATGGGGCTAAAAATTATCCAAAAAGTGATAAGTGAACGACCCCATAGTAAATACCTGCTCTTTTCTCTTTCCGTTGGTACTTCTCTGCTTTAAACTACTCAGACTCGTTCTCGTAGAGCGGAACGTGCTTTTAAGCAACTCTCTGGATTTAGGAGTCATGCTGATGAAGACTACTGGGTTCCATGTAGAAGCTAACAGTGGTAACATGCGGTGAAAGGAGAAGATAATCCACCCTTGCACCTCGGAGTATAACCCACTGCCACTTCTACGAGCCAGATACCAAATAGGAGCTTCAATCATCATCCGGAGGAGGATTAGAACGCTCGGTAGATTAGTCAACAGGATCTTCTGACTTCGCTCTCTTCGTCTGACACAGTTGATCTTGTTGTTGTTCCCAATTCCTAGGACTCTTATATTGTTTTTAACGAAGAGGATATGTGCAGCAGCCAGTATAGATGAGACGAGAGCTCCTATCTGTACCATGATAGTGCCTGCGTTGGTAATGATAACAGAGACGTACTGACTTCGCCAGGATAGCCCTATATTGTATGGGTTCACATTCAGGGCTAGCATCAACAACGGGCTGTAATACGTCTTGTGCATTGGGCTGAACAGATTGAACAACTGTAGGAAAAGTATGACAGTGAAAGCCACACCGATAAAGAGTAATATTATCTTCTTCCTTACATCTTTCAGTGGATCTTTTAATTGAATGTAGCGGGTGATGGCAAGTAATCCTGTAGTTGAAACAGCCGCGGAGTCCAGACAGTGCATTATTACCGTGCTCACTTTGTGCCCCGTAGAGGCTGGAAAAACACAGTTCCAATATTCATCTTCTGTAAGTCCGAAACACCACCTACCCTCCTCTAGAATTTCATTAGCTTCTGAGAACAGGACAAAAGGAAGAGTGAAACAGTAGAGAAAATCGATTGAGGAGAGGATGGTAAACAGGAATGCTGCAACAGAATTTTTTCTTCTGCTGAAGAGGAAGATCACAGGGTTCAAGGCTAGAGATGTGAGACAGCAGATGATGATAACGATCGTAAATGCCATGGACGGAAGTATGGAAACTGAGTTTTCAAACAGGAACCTTAACATTGCTATTTACAGGAAACTCTGCGACAGAAATATTTTAGAGTCAATGATCATAAAAATTAGGATGCACCAAACTAATTTCAGCAGCTATATGTAATTTTACTGAGTAGCTATTTAATGGGTTTATATTTGATTTTAACGGGGTGATATTTAATTTTAAACGGGGCGAAGACTAGTCCAGTTCCTAGCTACAACAGTTTAAGTTGCATCCCATCTCTTGAGGAAGAGCTCAACTAAAAAGCTACAAAGCAAAAAATAAGCTGTTGAGTCTGTACAAGTAAATTTGTTTTAAACTGAAATTTAAAAGCACGTGTCTTTGTCGCACTGCGTTTCAATTTAATGGGTTTATATTTAATTTTAACGGGGCGATTGGCGAAGACTTGTCCAGTTCCTAGCTACAACAGTTTAAGTTGCATCATTAGGCCTTTTTCGTCGAACAACTTATTTAGTTCATTAAGTTAAAATTGAAGTCTGACATAGATCAAAAGGTTGCTAAACGCAACGCATTGTCAAACTACTTCTATGAAATATTGTTTCAGTAGGATTATGATGAAGATCAATTTTGAACCTAATTTCGCAGCGTTGACAACTACTACTGTCTTTGAGTCGATTCAAATGGGGAAACAAAATTTCAGTTAACAACAGCAAAACGTTTAAAACATGCTTGATCGAACGATTGGGAGCAATTATGGAGATCGGGACACGTTAGAGGTTGAAGCCTGCCCACCTTTTTTAAACAAAAGTTGGCGAATAGTGACAATAGAACGGTCATAGCGGGAACTTACAGACAACGAAAAATGCCATTAAAGTTGTGTTTGCATATTTATGCTTATTGTTTTATTCCCATCTTTTAGTCCAGCTTCAATGTTAGAATGTTGTGACATAATTGCAGTTTGCACCTAATAATCCATTAGTGTCCATTATTGCACTTATTGCTATTTAGGATCAGCTATTTTTTCCGATGCACAGGACAAATTTAGGTTTTAATGGAAATGGCAGAAAACGGTTTTCTGTTACAATTGGCAAACGCGAACGGTTTCGTGCATTAATTTTAAAATACTCTTAGAAACTTTAAATAATAGATTTGTATGAGTTGGTAAAGAAAATTGAATCGGTATTTAATGCCGTAAAGTAACCAAACGATCATACTACAAAATAACTACGGAAACTTAAATTAATAATATTTGAACTGTTTAACTAACCATTAGCGTCGCGTCAGCGTCAAAATTTCATGAGAAACAGAGTTACTATAATCATTAAAAGTCACTATCAAGGATTCAGGAATTAAGTGGTATAATCAATAATAGCGGCGCCAATATTTAATTTATCGACTGAATAATTATATAATCAAGGATCAAACGGATTGATATTATTATTCGGCTTACTCCCGATGGAAATTGGCTTATTTTTGAGATCACGGTTGCTCACAAAATTGGGCATTTTGACTGGGACCAAAACAAAATTCTTCTTAGATTCTTGGACAAATTTTCGTAAAAATTAATTCCTTCTGTAAATGCCCAATTTTGTGAGCAACCGGGATCCCAAAAAATTGGGTTCACATGTCAAATAATTTGTCAACTCAACAATCAAATTCAAATAAATAAACATCGAGGAACAATTTAAACATTTCTGCCCTACACAATATTATATATAATGCCACTGTATTCCTGGCCTTTTCTAACTAAGTGATCAGCTAGGCTTCCGTCTTCACTTAGAGTCATCATTTGAACCCCTGAGGTCTCTGTAAAGATTTCTGGGGGACTGGAAATCATCTGGCAGGGACTGAAGCTGATCGATTTAATAGCTAATAATAGCTTTGAAGTCATACTATAAGATGGAGCATGACTGAAAAAAGTGTTAAGTGCAGGCAACATAAAGAAAAAGCAATTTGGCAATGCCAATAGAGATCATTTTTGATTTTCAAACACAGTTTCAAGAACGATTCAAATAGTGAGATTTTAATGCATTATATATAAGGGCCTGCCATCAGCTCTTGGCTCTTGCGGAATAAGTGAAACTCGAAAGGTATTATTAAACTAATTACAACACTACAAAACTATTACATATATATATACATATATAATATTGTAGCCTCTCGGAAAAAATTCAAGAAGTTTGTTTTCAGGATTGAAAACTAGCAACATTATTTAACATGATAAATCCAGTAAGATTTTGAACGAGAATATGTTTTTTAAGGAATGAATTCTAGCAATGAGGAATGTAAATTTGAACTGCAATGGGCGAGTATTATATCGTACAGTTAGACTATGCAGATAGTCTCAATGCATTTATTAGACTTAGCTGCAGATAGTCTACACTTCAGATAAATTAGCTGCCGATGGTATAGAACTGTATCGCAAATGCCTGGGCTGCAGATAGTCTAACTGCGCTGCAAAGTGCAGATGCTTTATCAGCTCTCACCTATAATTGCTCTCACCTACAACTGCTCTCACCTATAACTGCTCTCACCTATAACTGCTCTCACCTATAACTGCTCTCACCTATAACTGTTCTCACCTATAACTGCTCTCACCTATAACTGCTCTCACCTTTAACTGCTCTCACCTATAACTGCTCTCACCTATAACTGCTCTCACCTATAACTGCTTTCACCTATATCTGCTCTCACCTATAGCTGCTCTCACCTATAACTGCTCTCACCTATATCTGCTCTCACCTATAACTGCTCTCACATATAACTGCTCTCACCTATAACTGCTCTCACCTATTACTGCTCTCACCTATAATTTTATCAGTATTTTGCAACAAGAGTCAACGGGATCCTATAAATATAATCATAGTAAGCTCACGGGTGGTCCTTACTAAGGTCCTTTTATTGCCCAGAAAGATTTTATCTGATCACGTGCACGTTAGTGAATTGGTTCGGGCGGCATGAAATTTGAACAAAATTAAATTTCGATCAATTTTTGATTAGCTCGTAGGAAATTTAAACAGCTTGTAGGAAATTGATACAAAAATTGATTATAGGTTTAAGTTTATCACAAGGTGCTATGTAACTATTATAGAGAAGATGAATGACACATTGTGCACTCTTCAACAACTATCCGGGGATTTAGCTTTTATTTAAAAAAGGGTCTGACCATTATTGTTCTTTGGCAGGGCCGCAAGTCTCGGTCCATGAGTATTATAAATGACTGATCTTGGATTCTCAGTGCGGGTTACATACCCGGTGCTTAGAGTTGGACCTCCGGGCCCTCAACTAGGACTATTATGAAAAATAATAACTGGAATATTGCTGAACACGAGTCCACCTTTTTGGAGTAAGATGACGAGCTAAAGTTCACAAAATGTATTAACTCAAACTATTTATTTCGTGAAGTAGGATTAATATCGAAGATACTTTTGCAAGTATTAGCATACACTGCACCACTTATAATACCCGCTCGACTCAACAAAAGAAGATATGTTCCTGAGCATTTCGTGGCCTTTGACCATGCACTCCATGGCTTGTAAATTCACGTGGTACCCATGTGACGCCTTAAAATTTTAAGTGCTAATTAAAATGTTGCTCACCCCCATTACCAGGTAATGAGAATATTGTGCACGATGGATGACACAAAATATCACATGTTCAGTATTGAGTGGACAATGTCTTTTAAAGGTTTAAATAAAGAGGTAGATCAAATGATGGAGTAGTTCGCTGTTTATCAGTCTCATGATTGATATACTGATAGTAGGATAATATCCGGTTGGAAGAGACAAGGACAAATGAAACAGGAAGTTAGGGATGTAGGCAAATTTTCGGCGTCAACGCCATCTTCATGCTAAAATTTGTACCAATTTTAGCATGAAAATGGCGTTGACGCCGAAAATTTGCCTACATCTCTAACTTAAAATTGAAATGGTTACCCAATAAATTTTGCTAACGAGATAAACAAATTTCTTGATAACTTTGTCATTTTAAATCTGTTTTGCGTCAAATTTTCAGAGTATATTCCTCATTTAATAACCTATCGCAGTATGTTCGAATGGAGTTGCTAGCATGCTCGTAAATACGAATATAAGCAATATTGATTGGGTGTGGCCTCTAAAATTTTGGCGGCGGAAGCCTCGAATGAGTAGTTACAGTATACTATGATCTGCAAAGCAACGGGTCTCAAATATGAAACATGGCTATGTTATATTCGTACTTTGTCAACTGTGACATGAAGTTAGGCTAGTAGCAGAGGAATTTGTTTCCCTTTGATTCAATCAAACTAGATGAATTGTTGTAAATACTGAGATCAAACTATCAATCTACAGGCTATCGTCAAACATGTTGCAAGGCGTCATCTTCAGTGACATAAGCCCTAGAAATTGTAAAAAGTTAGTAAAACCCAAAATTCCTTTAAAAATCTGAACACTCTTAAAACAGTTATAAAGTTAAAATTAAGATGTTAGGAGTAATGGAAGGCCAAAAGGATTTATAGTGTTAATTCCCAAAGGTTTTAAAGTCTTGAGTAGTTGAATATATTTATGTTCACGGACATCTAGAGTTTTAGGACTAGAATTATCAATAATTGACACATTAAAAATTTTGTTAAAATCTTCCCTTTGTCTAAAACCATGATCCAACAAATGTAAACCCAAACTATATTCATCACTTGTTTCATCTACCTTATCACCATTTAAAAGTTTATAATATTTGACCCTATGTTCTCCAGTCCTAACCCGTAGAGATCGAGTTGTGCGACCGACGTAAGCCTTTCCACAGACACTACATTGGAACAGATAAATGATGTTGTAGCTCTGGCAGTTTCCAGGGGAAGCTTTAACCTTCTTGCCGTTCACTTTGAATTCACGGGTGCCTTTGATAAGTTCACAACATTTGCATCTTGGCACATTGCATTTGTTGGTTGGGCCATGTTTAGCTCCTAAAGCAAGTTCTTTCAATTTGACGAGGCGAGATTTTAGGCTTGGCCCTGTTTTCTTTGTGTAACTGAAAATTGTCTTCCTAGGCGTGGCGGATGTTGAGGAGGTCTCTTGGGATATTTCAGCAGTGTCACTTTCACTGAAACTCCTCGTTCTTGAGAGGTGTTCTTCATACTTCTTAGTCACAGACACCAGATCATCATCACTACCATAAGTAGATATGACCCTGATTGGAAGATGTAATGATGTCTGGTCATCAGGAGCCTGAACTTTGCGTGACAGTGATCTTGCTGTGTTAAGGACCTTATTACTGATGTTCTCAATCATTTTTATAGGGTAACATGCGGCAAGGAAGGCTTTTTTGAGGTTGTTGAGATGTTCTTTCAGGCGTTCTTGGCAGTTGATGATCCTTCTGAGTCTAAGGCATTGAGAGTACACGATACCGGAATAGATATGGTTAGGGTGGGAGCTTTTAAAATGTAGATATGAACGAGAGTCTGTTGGCTTTTTGAACAAATCCGTTTGGAGGGATCCTAAGGAATCGAAGGTGAACATTATGTCAAGGAAAGATACGTATTTACCAGGATCTTCTATTTGGTATTCATCAATGATTAGGCCATGGGAGAGGAGTGCTTTGTTAACATCTGCAATCCAAATTTTGAACTCATCTGTAGTTCCCTCAAACAAACCTGCTCCGTCGTAAATGTAACGCCTGGCTGATACGATCTTATTCATGAGCTCTGGGTTACTATAAACACATTTGTTCATTAGGTAATAGACTGCTATGTTTGCGATTTGGACACATAGTGATCCACCCGTAGGGATACCGATGAGCTGTATGAACCGATTTTGGTCGAACACCCCAGCAGAGGATCGAAGGCTCAATTCCGCCAATTTGGTGAGCCATTTGCAGAAATCTTCAGACCAATCTTCTCTGCATGATGACATAGCGGAATTCAGGGCCTCTATGACGAGGGGTGGTGTTAGAGAATCATAGAGGGCCTTAAAGTCGTAGGTAAATGATCTTCAAGTGATGGCCAAGTAGGGATCGAAACAAGTTGAAATATGCATTTTATTGATGGACACGATCGATTACAAAATGTCCTTATAAATATAATAAGCCTACTGAGAGATCGCAAGTTGGAGCAACTTAAAAGCTCTTGATAATTTCTGAAAGGTAAAATTTTAAAAAAGCAATAGACTTCAATTCCTTGAAATTTAAATATAGACATGTCAGGTCCCATGCACATGATAATGTGTTAGTTTTCATGTGATGATTTTGAAGACGCGTGCACTTACCAGTTATATAGTTGAAGTTGTGAATGTACAAACCATATTATATAGCTCGTTATTCCTAATATAGACAGTGGCTAACCCGGAGGCATGGTTTGGAGACTAATTATGGTTTATAGTGCGGGAGATTGTAGAAGGGAGGTTAAAGAAAAACTCCCGAACGTGGGTATACAAGGTTATACATTATACGAGGGTCTCTGAACTCAATTTTACACGTGGTGTAATATATAAATATACGTGGAATGTGGATATATACGAACGTGGATATAATACAAGGATGTACAAGGGTCTCAGAACTCAATTTTACACCAAATATAATCAGAAATGTTCAATTTTATCGTGAAAGTTTAATGCATCATCTCAGGACTCAATAGCTATAGTGAGCAAAATTGAGAAAAACCTCACTTGCTTTTCATCGTTGTTTTACAGATCTACACGCAGATGGTTTAAATGTGGAATGTAGTAACGATCAAGTATTGAGAATATTGAGTAAAATTGAGGCATAAAACTAAACTACTGCACTGGTCTTTGAATAGAATTTAGTTACATTTCTTTCCACTTACTTGTGTTTCAACTTAGATCTATTTATCCAAGGTAAGTTTAATAAATCGCTATCTTAATCTCGAGTTTTTTCCTTTTCTTACTATGTTGCGTTTAACGCGAGCAATATATTGTGGATCGTGTGTAATTTTCGCTCGAAAATGCTTTAAATAAGCATTTTATAGCAAACGTTTCGTCATAAATCTAACAAATAATATCTTTGTATTGAGCATTACATAGACTTGTGTTTTTAAATTGCCTCCTGTTATCCTTATAACATGATTCAATTTCAGCTGCTAAACCTTTAAACATGGATCTGATCGCGAATGTTGCAGCCGACGTAGTCCCCATGCCTTGGTACTTGGTAAGTTATGTTCTGCAATATTATAAGAGTCGAAACTCGGTAATTTAAAAAATATTTCCTTGTGTTTAACGAATAGCAAGCGCATAATTTCCACTATCATTTACAGAGATGGTACATAAAGATCAAAACTTGTTCTTGCTGCTGCTGCTGCTCCCCCAAAGTAGAATTCTAGCTGGACGGTTGCTCAAAGAAGAAAAAAAGGTGAACTGTAGGGATTAGACTTTATCTACGGAATGAAATTGTATAATTTGATCTTGCGAGCGATTGTGAGATTTCAGGTGGAATTTGCTTTCATTTTTCGCAACAGAATTGTACACAAATACAGTAACTCCACGTCCCGGCCATTATTTGTTTATTTATTGTTTCGGCTTTTTGTCGACCAACAAAACTTTGTCGGTTTTAACAAGCAGACCAGATCATTTTTCTATTCTGTTGATAACGTGCGTGATATAAATTAGATGTTAATTTCATTATATTGAAATCTATCTCTGTTAAATTTTGAAAACTTCATGCATCAGAACTGAATAAGGTTAGAAATGTTGATTATTACCTTTCCAAAAAAGATATTGTTTTCCTTGTCTGAACAGAAAAGTAATTTAATCAAAAATTTTCAACACGAAAACGCAATTCATCGGTTAGGTTCCCATCCAGAAAATAACATAAGTATAACTGTATAACTATAGAACAGAGGTACACAGAATGAACTACATTATATATAACTAGAAGGCCCGTGGTCACAGGGATGAAGCTAATGGCATACTTTCATAGTAAGTTTTTATCGCATCAAAAAATATCCGTCACAACCGAAAATACTGCCGCTTAAAATGTAGCTCGCAAATCTTTGCATGTGCACGTGGTGCGCGTTTCAACATCGTTACCATGGTAACTATGCAACTTGTATTTGTTTACCTAATTTGCACGTGGGCAGTCGTACAGGCAAACATAATTCTCTGAATTATAAGTAAGATGACTTACCCTGAAAGAGCCATATTTTCGGTAAAAATTATAAATATTATTTCCATCAACTGCCTTTTTGCCAAGGGCTGAAATTTTATAATGTTGGTTTGATATATGATTATGACCGATGGGGCCAGGCGGGAGGGGGTTAGGGTTAGGAAAGTGTCTCACGTTTCAGAAATTCTTAGAATTTAAAGAATGAAATAGAATAAAAAATCCGCCCAAATTGTGTCAAAAATGTAGCAATGATAATACAGCAGAGTGCAGACCCCCAAATGAACGTTCCTCACTGTGCGCTGGCTAAACAAGCTGCAAATAAAGTCAGTGATCTCAATTTAATGGTGTACATGCATTTAGAAAAGTTGTATGTGCAGACAACATAAAATTTTATGATCTGTTGTTCATGCATAAAGTTATAGGTCATGTGATACGCGTCATCAGAACACGTGACACATTAGACCAGTGCACGATCAATTGTTTTTCTAGACATATTCGAGATATCACTCAACTAACATAACCGGGTTGAGTGTATTATATTAAGGGGGCCTTAAATTTAATAGAACTGTACAGTTAAAACATTTCCAGGTGATGGAAATTGGAAATAAAACCTCGATAGTGAAACCACTCCTTACTTGAATTGCGTTACCAATTTGTTTATGTGCCCCCAACCTGCCTCCGTTTAAAAACAATAACGCCTATTAGGCTATAGCAGAATTTATCAAAAGGAATTTGTCAAAGGAATTAAACTGCTATTATCTGATTGATATAAAAGCTTGTTTCTACAACTTACCAAGCTGGAAATGCATTCTTTGATCTATTCAATGTCAATCTGTGAGTCTAGCTAAAAACTTGAACAAAAGGCAAACGTGCGGTATAGTATAGGTAGTTCCAAAAGTACTAAAGTTCAACTATGTCGAACTAGAGTTATACACTATACTCTCTGGACTCTAGTTCGAAACGTACTGAAGTTCGAAAAGATAACTTCGATTGGGCGAACGGGATATAATTATAAGGATACATTTTGTAATTTAGATAAGCTTTCAATTCAATTTATCATCGAACAACTTTGAACTTTGAGTATTCAAAATATTCAAAATATCCTTAATATGTTATTGGTTTTTTTCTTCACATTGGTCAACTATATCAATATTATATTATATGCTACTAATTAGGAAAATATTGATCTCCTCTCCTACAACAAGAAAGATCGGTTTGGCTCAGGCCGACCCGGTTTATGTGGCCGTAGGTAAGAATGTCCCAAATTTGCAACCGCAAAGTATCCTAAGCGGTCCTGACCCTTAGGATAAAAATCATACCCATAGCATATGTACTATGCACTATGCTGCATAGTGCATAGTGACTATGCAGCATCGGACACTGTAGCGTCGGGTTCCACTTGTGTCCTTTAATTACTTTATTTATGTAATTAGAAACATAAACATAATATAGATATAATTATGCAAACATTTACAGTCTGTTAATAATAATACCTTTTAGAATATAGTTGTGTTAATCTCTCGTAAACTAGCTTTTCTTGTTGATGAAAAGACTGCTCGATCCCGAGAAATATCTGAAGTAACAATTGTCGCCCTTTGATTAGTCGAAGTGTTCAGACTTGCAGGCCCCCGAAATATTCTCCTGAGTAACTCTCTGGATTTAGGAGTCATGCTGATGAAGATAACTGGATTCCACGTTGAAGCTAAAATTGGTACCATTCTGTGGAGAGAAAAAATGATCCACCCTTGTAGTTAAGAGTATAACCCATCACCGTTTCGCGCGAGAGACCGGATTGGTGCTTCCATTGTTAATCGAAGTAGGATGAGGAAGCTGGGAAGATTGGTCAGCAGGATCTTGAGACTACTCCGTTTTCGCTTCAAAATCTTACTCCCAAGTGTTTTGTTGCTTTGCTTTCTTAAGAGAATTGATGCAGCAAGTATTGCCGAAATAAATGCACTAACTTGAACAATTATAGAGCCGGAATTAGTTATCATTTCTGATAAATACTGGGAACTCCAAACAAATCCTATATTATATGGGTTCACATTCATTGCCAGCATTAACATGTTACTATGAACTGTTCTGTGCAGTGGACTGAAGAGATGGAATAACTGCAGGCCGGCTATGATCATAAATACTAAAGCAATTAAGATAGCAATTATTTTCTTTTTAACAATATTGAATGGGCTCTTCAGTTGAACGTAACGAGTGATGGCCAAAAGACCAGTTGTTGACACAGCCGCAGATTCTAGGCAGTGCATTATCGCAGTGGTTACTTTCTCCCCTGTAGATGCTGTGAAGACACAGTTCCAATATTCATCTTCTGAAACTCCAAAACACTTTGTTCCCTCAACATGAACAGGGGTATCTTTAGCATGCATGAATAGGATAAATGGCATTGTGAAACAGTAGAGAAAGTCGATTGAGGAGAGGATGGTAAACAGAATGCTGCAACTGAATTTTTTCTTCTGCTGAAGAGGAAGATCACAGGGTTCAAGGCTAGAGATGTGAGGCAGCAGATGGTGATTACGATTGAGAAAGCTATGGAAGGAAGCACGGAAATTGATTCTTTTACACGGAATCGTATCATCGACTCATTGACTTTAAAATCGATTCAATCGTCGTTATTTCAATCATGAGGCTATATAACTTTCGGAAGAGCTTTCTTAGATTTTCCAGCCGTCAAGGCAACTGAGCCAGGCTCATTTTTCTGATAGTACCATCAACTCAAAGTCCTAAGGCCAGAAATAATTTGACGCAAAGTAAGTTGAACCAACTTATGAAATGTGTAATTCTAACATAGAAGCATAGATCAGTTATGTGGAAATTATTTTGTCTCATCTAAGCGACCAATTAAACACAGAACACTGCTATTCGCCACATCTTACTATATATAAAGCGAGACGATATATATATATATATCTGTGCCATTTTACTGACACCACGGCATCAACTTTAACGCGACTTTCCGCAAAAACCGTAAAAGATATACAACTGAAACTTTTTTGACTGGGTCAAATGCTTTTATGCTTTTCAAATCAGCATGAAAAAATAAAAAATTGGCCAAGGAATAGGAGTTTTAGAGCCCAAAATTTGGACCCCCAAGTGGTGTCAAAAACGCGAATTAAATAGGTAATAATTATTTTAGTCTCTTGAGTCTTGACACCATTTTAGGGTTATACGGGTTCCTGCTAGTGCATGCAATATTTAAACAGTGCACTATTTTTTCACATATATCTGTAAATATTAAATAAGTACTAACTTACTCTCCGCTCTGCTTTGTACTCCATTGAATTACTAAGACAATAAAACTACACCAAAATGAACAATAAATAATCAATAAATAAACTTTGTTAGTACACTGACCAAAATTTGATATTATCATTAAAGTATTAAAAAGCATTAAAGACTGGAAGTGATTTGGCCGAGGTGATTCGGGATTGCTTCTGCTATTTATGATTATATTTATGTCAAAGTATTCGGCTGCTTTGGTGATTTTGAAGTATCTAGTAAGCGTAATACACCCCGGATATTAGTTTTATTACTATCCCATGAAACCGGTCAACTGGAATCCAATTAATCATCTTAGTGGAGAGATCTGATCTTACATATCAACGAGATGCAGCTCACTTTTGCAATATTATATTTGAGGGATGTTCAATCAAATGACAATATACGTGTTTACCTCTCGGAGTTCATAATTTAAATATTTTCACTTCTAAACAACAATTTTTAGTTAATTATCTCAATAAAATGAGTGAAAGAACTTGTTGGCGAGACTGGTGACAAAGATGAAGGTTGGTTAGTCGCGTCGATCATGATGGCTTTCAAGTCACTAAACGGAAAGGATTTGACACAAATTTTATTTGTTAACCTGGAGAGGGATATTTAAAACATATAAGTGATACGAAAGGATTGTATTAGCAGTGTGTTTATTTGTTAAACATAATTTTTGAATCGTCGGTGCGTGCGGGTGTGCCCCAAATTAAGTTGCAAGAGGAGTTTATGAGGATAACCTATAACCCCATTCGAAGAGAACGTGAACAAGGTCTCTTGTCTCAGACAATAGTTAATGATGCAACCTCGTACAGTAGAAATAGAATACCTGCCGAGCAGTTTAATAGTTAGATATTTAATTACGTAAGTAACTACTGTACAAAACCTTTGCAAAGTGTTTACCTGAGCTGGTGAGCAAGAGGAAAATAGAGGGCAGTGGATAAATTAGCTTTGGAATCGTGGGAATTTTTTTAAAACCGTAAAAATTCTGTTCCATGACCATAACGATTTTGGGCATTCATCCAAGGAACACTGCACCTGTGCCAAGACGTGTCAAGTCCCAGGTGTGGCCAGTCTTTTCTATAAGTCGAGGCTTATCTTTCTTAAATTTAAATTTAAATTCTACTTTAATTAATATCTCAGGAATGTGAGGTCAGATTTTGATGTGTTTTTTCCCTATTTTTTTGTCACCAGCAGTTCTATAACATGTGTAAGAACTAGAAAATAATCGATTCTATAAACTTCCAGTGCTAAACGTATTCTATAATTTAACAACAATCTACTAAAAACGACAAAGGTACATGGCCACG